CACACAATTCAGTGCCACGTCCGTATCATACGGCATCATCACCGGAAGGACTACCTATGCGGGCGGTGCAAGCTCCGGCTCTGGGGCTGCAGCACCCACCGATGCCAGTGGCCAGCCACTCGGTGAGTGCATCGTGACAACTTGGTTTCTAGAAACCCAATCGGAGTGGCTGTACTGTTGTGAATCGTATGATGCCTGCATGTCCAAGGGCTTTGGGGTGTCAGTTATGCCATGGGCGTCACAGGGCATTGGGAGGTGGTACGGCCGGGGCTGGGGAAATATATTGTATTTTTCAGCCGACAGGACACGTTTTAGCGCTCGTTTACTGTTTTGTTTTTTCCGGATGAATTGGGCGGACCATCCTGGATGCAAAATAATACAACTATGGAGGTACTGTTCGTACTTTTTTTCTCTTTTTTTTATACGAAAGTCCACTATATTCCCGAATACGTGCAAGAATTTGTGGCGGGGCCAGGCTGCTCTGCCGACCTCAAAGGTCTCGGCGTCTACGCAGACAAAGCGCGCCATAATGCAGTAAAACCATGAGGAGGGGAGAAAGAGGGGAAATGAACTGTGAGTGACGCACCTGTATGCTCGCTAAGTGTGTGCCCGGGTTTGAACGAAGGCATCACCAGTGCCTGTATATTGAACAGGGCTGTGCTGCAAGTGCACTGTGCTTGCCTTCTCATTTTTTTAAAAACAGGCGCGTAGCTCGTGTATACCGCATTTCCCCAATTTTAAGTTTTTTAACACTAATATTCAGGGTAAAGGGGGGGGGGGGTGCAGCTTACAATCAAGCATGACTTACTACTGAAGTGAATATATCGAAAAAGGTATGGCTCAAACCTGAAAATGGGGGTGCGACTTATATTCGAGTGCAACTGCTAATCGGGGAAATACGGTAGACGGTAGAGTCCGGTCGCCACACCAGCAAATGGCCATCATACGTACTACAGAGTAAAAACAAGCAAAATGGCAACTATGAGGTTGCCGATGGTTACATGGTCACCCCACCACAGATGTGGCCCTGGTTACATGATCACCCCACCACAGATGTGGCTCTGGTTACATGGTCGCCACACCACAGATGTGGCTCTGGTTACTAGGTCACCACGCCACAGATGTGCGTGCTGCCGCTCCTGAAACGCATTCCTTGTTGCGCTTTTTGTCCTGCAGCGTCGTCCACGAACGTGGCGAACCCGTCGCAGGAGACCGTTCTACTCGGCGGCTCTATCCTGCAGATTGGTGGTACCGTGCTGGACACTACGAAGTCCATGGTGCAGATCAACAGCACACTGCTACAGACCAGCAGCACGGTGGTCAGGGACATGCTGCAGTTTGGCATGCCCGTGCTGCAGATCTCAGCCAGCAGCTCCACGTCACTGCAGGCCGAGCTCACCACATCCATTGTTGCCGGTAAGTGTCAAATCAGACTGGGTACTTAGCAATAAAGATAAAAATAGCAACAGCAGCTGCAGCGACGACGGCTACAACAACGACAACAACAGCAACAGCAACAACAGAAATAGCAGAAACAGCAGAAACAGCAACAGCAACAACAACAACAACAACAACAACAACAACAACAACAACAACAACAACAACAACAACAACAACAACAACAACAACAACAACAACAGCAACAGCAACAGCAACAGCAGCAACAACAACAGCAACAACAACAGCAACAACAACAACAACAACAACAACAACAACAACAACAACAACAACAACCCCTGCGAGTGCACACTAGCTTGGATTGGCATTTTTGACAAATGCATTAACTCTGCATCTGCATCTGGGTGACAGGTCAAACGAAGATGTGCATTATTGATCTTCATTTGTCACAAAATCGACCTAAAAATCTTTCTCGTGCGAAGAGTCTCCGCAATATTCTCCATGCGCAAATCCTAGCCTGACAACTTGCTTATATTAAGTTATAAAACAATACACCTGCTTTGAGGCGTAAGAACACCTGTTGTGGAGGTTTATGTCCTGATGTGTTATACTTACCTGTCTCTCTCTATGAATGTTACATACTGCCACTCTCTCTCTCTCTATCTCTTTCTCTCTCTCTCTCTCTCTCTCTCTCTCTCTTACTCTCTCTCGCTCTCTCTCTCTCTCTCTCTCTCTCTCTCTCTCTCTCTCTTTCTCTCTCTCTCTCTCTCTCTCTCTCTATCTCTCTCTCTTACTCTCTCTCGCTCTCTCTCTCTCTCTTTCTCTCTCTCTCTCTCTCTCTCTCTCTCTCTCTCTCTCTCTCTCTCTCTCTCTCTCTCTCTCTCTTTTATTCTCTTTCTCTCCCTGCCTGTCACCCTGCAGGTAAATGTGCTTGCCTAATGCAGCAACCCGGCACCACCCTGCCCGAGGGCATCACACAGCCAAAGTACTATGTCTTTGTCAAGCACACGACCAATCAGAGCGTGGTGGCCTACACATCCATTGAGCCGGGAAACAAGACCACCGTGACAGGCCTACGTGCAGAGGCCAACTACGAAGTGGACTTCTTTGTCTACTACGCTGGAATCTGGTTTGAAGTGAAGACCAATGGTGAGGGGTTTGTGTGCAAGTGCGCCAGATGCGTGTCTGAACATAACTACGCATTGGTATTGCACATGTGTTAAGGCAGGTATGGTTATGGATACGTGGGGTTGGACATTACCTGCAGTGAGTTGTCTGTGTGCAAGTGTGCCAATATATAGGCCCGATAGGCAGAATGCAGATAGTGAGAATGTGTGCATTGGTCTCATTCTTTCTCCCCATACATACACACATGTGCTGACTTTTCTATCTGGCAACCTACCTACTCTCTCACCTCCCTCCCCCCCCCCCCCCCCCCCTCTTTATCTCTCTCTCTCTCCCTCCCCCCTCTCCCTCTTGTTCAGGTGTGGACAAGGATGGAGTACCTGTCCTGTCTCCGTCATCACCCACAGTGGCACCCGGCACAACACCACCCCCGGGAGAAGAGGCACCGCCCCAGGTCATTAGTACCCCGAAACCCGGGGCACCGTCCGGGATCAAACCCCCAGTGGTGACACCCGACCCAGATGACCCCAGGTACTACCTGGTCCGGGTGGAGGTTCCAAACGTCGATCTAACCGGGGTACCCGAAACCCCGACCACTGTTGACGAGGAAGCACCCACCCTGACCCCGGGGGTCACCCTGGCCCCTCCCAATGTCGTTCCCGGCGAGCCGACTGTTCCGTTCATTGCCACGACGACACCAGCTGGCATAGCGTCGACCACTGCAGCGCCTACGGGGGTACCCGGAGCACCAGGTGAGGTCTGTGCGTGTTTGTATGACAGGGACTGCAGTATTTATTTATTCCCGTAGCTATGCAGAAGACATTACTTCAGTAACGTCTGGCGCTAGCCAGGGTCCACACAGCTTTAATTTGGTGTTTGTTTGTTTGTTTGTTTGTTTGTTTGTGTCACGCCTGGCGCTATCCCGTATCTGTCCCGTACCGTATCGCACAGCTGGCCATTTGCTGGCTGTCGTATCTGTCCCGTACCGTACCGTACCATCAAACACAGCTGGCTACAAACAGCTGGCCACAATATTATGTACATGTATACGACTCCCTGTGTGTTGCAACTGTGCTTGAAGGGGACGGTTGCACTTTTTGTAGCTCCGTTTTATCTGAGTTTTCAGTCGTTCCTCTTACTAGTCTTGCCAAGGGGGTGGCTCTGGGTCCACCAGAGTTGCCCCTGGCGTATTTCTGAATTTGCTGGGGCGAGGGTTCCGCGACACGGTCGCCAAGGCAGTGTCTTTTCAGTCACGGCCGTTGTCGTCCTCGTCCCTCCATTCGCGGTGGTGTAGCTGACCCCCGAATGGTTTCAAACTGCGAAGCTCGGAGGAGTACAGTGGTGGCAGAGGCATGAGATGTGAGTGGAGACGGTCGCTGGAGATGGATGGTGATGCAGGGAGAAGAGTTACGCTGCCTGACGCCGCGTGTGAAATTGTTTGAACCTGCAACTTCAGTTCGAGCGCGGTGGACTTCTAGACGATGTGTCCTCATGGCTGTTTTTCAACGCTTGGCCTATCGCTGATATCCCTGCGTGGGATGTTCTTCCAGTGGAGTCCAGGTGGGACTTCGGGTGCCCACACTCCATCACCTGGTTGATTGTTTCGGAACTGCAAAAATATTTATTGTTTCCTATTTTGTGCGCATCTCTTGTCATCTCTCTTTTCTATACGTCGCACACCAGATGTACTACTATCGCCGTCTTTCTCTTGCTTTCTCTCCCTGCTTGCTGTTTTTTTGTTTCTGTTGCCACTGTCCCTCATCATACCCATGCTTGGGTGGTGGGCGGCTTGACCCGTTAGGGTAGCTGCCAATACAGTACGACTCCCTGATGTATAGAGAGACTTTCCGGAAAGAAATAGGGAGACGAGGAGGAAATGAAATTAGAATGGATGTTAGTTGCCGAATAGGTGATAGGATGCGTCAGCAAAAAACATACTTTGGAAGAGAGATCCCGTTGTCTCCAAAATAGGCGTGAACGGGCGAGTCAGCGCCGGTCACAGGAAACGTCGGCAGAGTGATCCCGTCGACTCCAGAACGCGCGTGCTCGGCAGAGTCAGCGCCTTCCCAGGAAACATTTCCATCAGTTCCCACAACATGCACGATGAGCTAAGTAACAAAGCGTAGCGTAGGGCCCTGAGCTTCCAAGCTCTCTCGTTTATTTATTTGTTTGTTTCTGCACCTCGTAGCATGTCAAGACAGTCAATTGAATTGAAGAGAGGGTGAGACCAACCACGTATTGTTCGGTAACCTTTATTGCCAGGAGCACTGTCTCGGCAAGACAGCGGTGCTGGGTTTGAATCCCGGCTGCGGACCCTTCTTTAGCTACATACGGATAGAGTTGCTCTCATAGAATGGCACAACAGTCAGTTTCACGAATAAAAACTTCGGATATGACAGTAACTTGTGAATAACGACGCTATAAGTTGCGCTATAATGTCCAGTAACACCAGCAGTTAGTAAACAGTTACTTGGTCCTTTTTTCCATAAAGTTGTCCTTGGATTTCATCCAAGTCCATTCCATGTAGATCCAGTAATCTTGATTCCAAATTCCCAAGCTCTGGAATAAGGACAGCTGGCGAATAACAACGCGTTCTCATGCCTGGCCTAGGGTGTTGATTGGCTGTGCTGTGTTTGCGCTGCTGGGTGTGCACAGGTACAAATATCAAGCCGATCAACTACGTCGTCTACAAGAATGGCATCCCAGTGCAGGAAGGTATGTACATCAATCCAACTGCAGTTACCCCTGATGCCATCAATCCTTTTTCCTGCACCTTGTCCTCACTCACTTTATACTGAGGTGTGGTGAGCTCGTAAGTGGGATCATTTCCAACTACACCCATAGTTTGGGGACTTCAGGGTGTGTTGGCCGTTGGGCGGTACAAAAGCCAATTGAGTCATCTTTCCAAAATTTCTTTCGAGTCTCTCTCCCTCTCCCGGGGAGACCCACGTGACCAGTGTTGGAAGTGAGCAAGTACAAGTACAGGTATAACCATTAGACGCATAAAAGAAATCATTCAAAAAGCAATGGCTGCTGTAGTTTCATTCATTCTTGTACAACCTCATTCGTTCTTACGTAAATGTACTTGTGTTTTGTAAGGAGACATGGATAGCAAGCTTGGCTTTTACAATGGATACACCTAGCGAAACTGTGTAGAATCCTTCCACGACTTTGCCCAAGAAGTGGAAACTGTCACGACACTGCTTGGAATGACCTACTAGTTGTGCATTATGATACTGACTTGCATCCAGAAACATGCCGACTTATAATTAACAGTCATGTGACTCATATATTCCATGAAAATGAAGCTAACACTGTGCATGTGCAGGCTCTTGGATAAAAAGAAAGGACAAAATGTTACCAGTGATGGCTAACAAAATGGCTAACAACGTTGTTAGTTTTGTGCCATTTTGTCGCACTCGCTGACTGCATACGATCTGGCTACGTTGGTGAACAGTTGAAGGGCTTCATTGCAAAACGAGATAAATCCATTTTGACCAATTTTCAGGAGGAGCGATTTTCTGTGATCAACAACTGGGTGGGTTTGGGTCAAATCTAACTTAGCAGATGAGAAGAGTAGGGTGATGTATGCAAATACAGTAGATATTGGTTATAACGTGCCCTTCTGATTTTTCACATTTTATCACTATAACCGGTATATCACTACAGGCGATTTTCAACTGCGCGCGTCATACATACACATTATACACGTGTGGGTACTCGATCGTGCTAATGTAGCGTACTGATACGTGATGGGTACTACTGCACCTTCTCCAGTCTAGAGTGAAGAACTTCTTGGCCTAAAGGCATCATCCAGGAAGCATCAGACCAGAATACGCTATGACAACACACATGTGGCTCCAAGTCGAGACATCAATGCCTCACACTCGTGTGTTGCTATCACTATAGACGATAATTTGTCTGCACAAAGAGGTGTTTTGAATGGTGATTCTGTATCCTTATAGCCGATTTATCGCTATATACGATATATTGGTTATAATGATAATTTGACTGGCTTTTTCTGGTTTTGCTTTTGATATTTTCATTTTGTATCAATATAGCCGGTTTAACACTATGTCCGATGACTTTATAACCGATATCCACTGTACAGGATTTCTCAAAAATCAGGAGCCATCCATTTTCCCAAGCAAGGTGATTCTTCAATATTTTCGGGCAAAACCAGACCAGTTCGCCGGACTAATCAGTATTATGAGATTAGAAAATACAAGTGCAACGACTTCACTGAGTTTGGAACTCTGAAGGAGCTCAGCAGCAACAGCACTGCCAGCAGCAGCGTCGTCTCTCCCTGACGCCTCTAGCATACTGCCCTTTTCAGTTTCGAAAGCGAAAAAACAACAGCTACGAAGAAGATGATACAAAAAGAACGAAATGACAACGTAGATGTAGCTGCTACAAAGCAACAACACGAAAACACTGTACTTTGAACTCTGACATCGACATTTTGCACAGACTCAGTTTGTAGCGCGATGTTTGCCACATGCTGCGCCAGCACTCGCTGGCTTGTCACAGCCTCATGAGCTCACAGGTCACGCTGGCCCGCGCGACAGGATATGTCGCACTTTGCTCGAAAACATCGGTGGTGTTTATCGCGTTTTGCAGTAGAACGTCAACTTCAACGTTGATTTTCAGTGGGATATGTCTCGTTTTGGAGAATTCTTTTTGGCCACCAGATGCAGTGATCCCTACTGATTCGATTGACACCGAAAACGCCATATGCATGAGATTGGCGTTTAGCGCGTTTTGCAATGAAGCCATTCAGTTAGTCATAGCTCGTAACATTATGTCCTTTCTTTTATCCATGATTACTTTAGCGCAATATCCAAGTGTAAAGGCTCTTACAAATGATTACTACCACACACGTGTAAGCAGTGAAAGAGAGCATTCAAGATGCGTTCGACTTTGGACATTGCGCCTGGGTGTTTAGGTACCAGCTATGGTGGGAACATCACACTGAAAGTGCCGGCATCGCCCGACAAGACGCTTCCCGTGGGCGACATCTACCAACTGAAGCTGTGCAACGAGCAGGACTGCAGCACCAGCGTGTTGACGGTGGCACCACCGGTGGTGGTCGAGTCCAAGAAGCCCAAGCCGCTGGACCCGACGGCCATCACGCCCGTCACCGGTGCACCCACCGTGGCACCGCCGCCTACAGGTAAGCCAAGATGGGTTGTTGCGAGATACCGTCTGACCTTGCTTATCCGGTCCTCTTTTATCCGGATCCCTCGCCATCCGGAAGAAAATAGCTGGTTACAGATTTGCAGCATACGTGTTGCATCCAACATACCCGGTGTTTGGTTATCCGGTTCCCTCGCATATCCGGATAGGTTTGTGGAAAACGGATGTGCGCGGTTAAGCAAGGTCTGACTGTACTGGTACTTTTCGTAATTAGAGCACCCTGGCGCTAGAACAACGAGTTATCTTTTACTGTCCGTAGTGCCACCTTTGCACCATGGCTGGTCAGAGCTCGGCTAGCTTAAAGCTCGTTGCTGTACGGATGCGGCTCATACGGCCGAAAAAGCTTGCTGTCGACAGCATTTTGTTGTTGTAAGATATGACGGCCATGTGACAACACTGTGATGTCATTGCACATGCTTAGCTTTGAGTTGTACACCAGTGGTTGTGATGATGTAATCATGGTGTAATCCAATGATGTAATCATGATGTAATCCCACACATTCATGCCTGAAAGCAAGAGTAGATAAGCCCAGAGAGTGTTCAATAAGTTAGGGGTTCTCTTGTATCTCTAAGTGTCACAACAGCGAGAATTCCCAGACTGCCTAGAGTGCTCAATACCACCACAAGGATGGAGCAGTGCCGCTGTAGTCTGAGGACTGCCTTAGCCCTGTATGAAACGCAGCGTTACGACCATGATGTAGCCGGTTGTCTCTGTTCTCTTCAGCCTTTCTGCTAAATCTAAGGTGTGGATGTGGGCACACGTGTACCTGTGTGAATGTGTGCGTGCGTGCGTTGGTGGGTGGGTGTGTGCGTGTGTGCGTGTGTGCGTGTGTGTGTGCATGTGTGGATGTGTGTGGATGTGTGTGGATGTGTGTGTGTGTGGATGTGTGGATGTGTGTGTGGGGGGGGGGGGGGTGCGTGCGTGCGTGTGTGTCTACGTGCACATGGTGTTTTTGCATATTCCAGCTCCACCAGCACCCACCATCGGTTACAGTCCACACGGCATAGTACTGACCTGGCCTGTGACACCCGATAACACGTACACCGTGCTGGTTGATCATGAGGTTGTGCCCACCTGCTCAAACATGCCCTCATCGGAATGTCTACTGCCTGACCCCACGCCCAGCAAGACCTACGTTGTAAGTGCAACGCCATGTAGGGGATTGTTTACACGGGAAATCCCCTGTGCTATGTTTGTATGTCAAGTGATGTCATGATGATGTCATTATGATGTCATAGTGATATCATAGTGATGTCAAAATGATATCAAGTCGGAATGTCTATAGTCTGATCCAGTGATGCCACACCCAGCAAGGCGTACATGTACGGGGCAAGCTCAACGACATGTAAAAACTGTTCACTGGGGAAATCCCCATCGTTATGTTGGCATAATCAAATGATGCTGTCAGAATATGTCCGGATTACCTTTCTTCCGTTCCTCCCTCTTGATATGTTGTACTTTGTATTGTTGAGGCCACAAACTGAAGTACGAAATAGAGGTTGCGACTGAGGGGTGAATTCCCCCGAAACACTGTGTATTGAGCAGGGAGTGGTGCTTTCTTGCAGGTTTACCGAGTCGAAGGTTCGATGGGCTTCTCGTGTTCTCTGGATGGCAGTCGCGAGTCAGTCAAGTGTCAAGTTGTCGGCGGAATAGCGCAAGCTCTAGTGTGGGACAAACCCATTCCTAAACAAACTGAAGTGCTGTAGCTAAACCCACTAAACCAACCAATGATGATGCAAAACTTACTCTACAGTTCGTGTGTGCTATCGTTTAGTGTGCCAGCCTGTGTGTGCATTCACATGTGTGTGCATTCACGTGTGTGTGCATTCACCTGTGTGTGTGTGTGTGTGTGTGTGTGTGTGTGTGTGTGTGTGAGTGTGGGTATGTGTGTGTGCGCACGCGTGTGTGCACGCGTATGTGTGTTTGCGCACGCACGCGTGTGCGTACACTTTTACATGTGTATGTGTGTGCATGTGTATGTGTGTGCGTGCGTGTATGTGCATGAATGTGTGTCTTGTGTACAACAGTTCTCCATCTGGGCGTGCACCAAGAAGAGCTGCGCCAGCTCCCCCAATCAGCCGCACACGGTACCCTCTAACCCGCTGCTACGCACGCCCATCATCGTCTTCATATTCGTGCCGCCGAGCGGTCCCGAAGCCATCCCCGCACCGCCACCGCCGTCGCAAGCATCGGCCGGTACCGGCGCCCCAGCCACCACACAGGCCGGGGCGGTCACTACACCTGCGGCTGGTGCTGGCGGTCCCGGGGGCTCTGGACCGGACAGGACGAAAACGTCGCCGACCAAGCTACCGGGCAACGTGGTACGCATGGGCGGACCGTGCTTGTCGGCTACCGAAACAGACGAGTACACCGTGCCGGCCGACTCCAGCGTCTCGGGTCGTATCGCCGGGGTTACCGATCCCGTACAAACCGCCAGCAACCCGCTGTTGGAGGACCTACTGAAGAACAACATACCCGAAATCATTCTCTCGCCGTCCAGTTCGACGAGCGTCAAGGTCACGCTCACCAAGCCCGTCAATACCAGCGAGCCGACGGCCCTCATCGAGTACTACGTCGTGTTCGAGCGCAACATCACCAAGCCGCCGCCAGGCAGCGGCCAGACCACCGGCGGGACCAGCCAGGGCACAACGACGTCATCGCCGGGCAGCGGTGACGTAGTCGAGGTCAAGACCTTCCAGCTGTACCCACCGCAGCCGACGGAGTGCGAGAACCTCGCGCCCAGCGCCAACTACGAGGTGAAGTTCTACTGCGTCAAGAAGATCAGCCCGCGGCCCATCTGGATACGCATCAAGCTACCCGATCATCAGCTGCCTGGAGGGTTCTACCCGACGACACAGCCACCAACAAGCACAACAGCACCGGGTGAAGGTGGCGGTGCTGGTGGTGGTGGTGGAGCTGGTGGTGGTGGAGGTGGCATTGCGACAACGCCAGGCATTGTCCCCACCACCGCACCGTCCCAACACTGCTCCGGTAGCGGCAGCAGCAGTAGCAGCAGCTCCGGCAGTAGTAGCAGCGACAGTACCTGCGGATTGCTGCCGGTCGGACCCATCATCCTCGTGACGCCCTCGCAAGGTGCGCCCATCGACGTCCCCCCGCCTACCGTAACTCGTCCCAATCTCAACGATCCCAAGCTCGTCATCACCGTCGTGATTCCGCTCAAGCCCACGAGCCCGGAGAGAGTCGGCCCGTTGCCCGGCACGATCCCCATAGAGACGGGTGTCGTGCCAACCAGCAGGCCAGCAACTACCCCCACAGTACGTCCGGGCAGTGGCACTGGCGAGACGCCCACTTACACAGTGTTTCGTGACGGCACCCCGGTGACCGAGGGCGAGGGCGCTGGAACGGTTAAGGTGGTCGACTGCTGCGACCTGTGGGCCATCTCTCCCTTCTATACCATACTGGTATGCTATGGCGGTGCGTGTACGTCCAGCGACGGTGTGAGAGCTCCAGCCAAGACTGCTAATCCGCAGAGTAAGGGACAATTTTTCTTTTCTTCTTTCTTTTCTGAATACCACAGAAGCATCAGATGCTGCACAGCGGGGGCGGTGGCATATTGGATGGAAGTGGGGGCGGGGCAAAAGTAACTCCTCCGACCAAAGGTCTCAGATTCATCGTTGCTCATGTGCGTCGATGTGTAGGAGAAAAGAACATGTGCATCCAAGAGGGAAGCACCTTATGTTATCTATTCTTGCCTCATTTGTGTGTTCTAGCTGTCACCTTTTGAAAGACAGTACCACACGATCACTCCGCGGCATTTCTTTAGCTTCTCTTTACACAGTCCTTTTGGCTATCGGGTTTACCGGGTGTTAGCGGCCGCCGTGAGTTCCCTTTGGGAATGGACACGATAATTTACTTTTTGCTTTACTCTTGGCTATCATCGTAATCTGGATTTGTCAAGAAGGCCTAAGTCTTTTAAAAGCAGGTTATAGTTTATCTACTGGACACTGTGCCCCAGCACTGAGGGGGAATGATCATACATATATCACAGAGACTTATCATGACATTGTATTAGAGGGAAGGCTATGTCCGCTTGTTGAGAGACGTATCCCTTCTCCCCTGACTCGCTTGTGAGATCTGCATTCGACACTGAGGATATGTGGGCCCGCCGGTGCGAATGTACATGCTTGATGTGTTCCTAAGCACGTCAGGTGATGTGGCCGCGAATCCGGCTAACTTTTTTTTGTGTGACAGCTATACTCTCCCTTTGCACGGCATAATTGACCCATTGCGCATTGCCAACTATGGAATGTATGCGTAATGCTTGTGAGTACGCTGGGATCAGGAATGCACTGTTCAACACCCCAGACGACCATGCCCAGGTGGCTGTGAAGGGTGTTTATGGTACAAATTACGTCATTGCACAATGGGTCCATCATTCTTGTCCTATACAGTTCTGGAGGGGAAATGCTGGTGATATGGTAGCCTCTAGCAAGCACAGCAATCTAATCCCCCACTACCTGCTTGCTTGCTGTGCTCTTTGTGTGTGTGTGTGTGTGTGTGTGTGTGTGTGTGTGTGTGTGTGTGTGTGAGTGTGTGCGCGCGCGTGTGTGTGCGCGCGTGTGTGCGCGCGTGTGTGCGCGTGTGTGTGTGTGCGTGTGTGTTGTTTGTGTGTGTGTGCGTGCGTGTGTGGGGGGGGGGGGCATGTGTGTGTGTGTGTATGTGTGTGTGTGTGTGTGTGTGTGTGTGTGTGTGTGTGTGTGTGTGTGTGTGTGTGTGTGTGTGTGTGTGTGTGTGTGTGTGTGTGTGTGTGTGTGTGTGT